GTTCCTTCTGTCGGCGAGCCTGTTCCTCCTGCTGCTCTTTCAACAGACCTGCCTGTTCCTCTCGTCCGCGCTGCAGCTGCTCCTGTAGCATCGCCATCAGAGCACCTAAGTCAGTTGCTGCAGATGTAGGAGCTACTGACGGGCCCGCAGCCTCCGTGGCTGGCAGTTGGCCCTCCGACGTCTGCGGCGTTGCACCACCAAATCTCCTCTGGTCCGTCTCCTGCTGGCGTTGACTTCGGGTACGGACACCCTCCGATTCCTTCTTCGGTAAAATCGGCATGATTTGATCCCACTTCTGACACCAATTGTTACGAGCTTGAGGTTCGTGACAATAAAAACTGCCGATTGAATTACCAAAATTAACACTTTAATTCTCTTTACACTAATTAAACTTAAAACACTAATAATTAATCACACTGATTCACTTTATTCCGCTCCGAAGCTTCGCTTGTCTCGCCAAATTCAATACTTCCTCGATCGCACCTTGCAGCGCCTATAAATACACATTAGTACCGAATCATCCAGAACATTCAAGTAAATACGCGCACCAATCGACAAAGCGCCGAAAGTTCGAGAGTCAGCTTCCAGAAGCTTAGTTCTTCGTTTCGACAACAGATGGCGCTGTCGGTTGAAAGATTAGTGATGTCATTTTCTGGAAAGCTCTCCCCTCGCTCCGTTACCCGACACTAGATGGCGCTAGTGCCAGATGTCAACATAGCCGCGTAACAATACATTGCACAAGGACAAATATCCCCTAAACCCGGATTAATTATTTGTAAGCCATACAAATACTTACTACGTGCGAGTTGCGAACCCGCGGCTCTCAGCTCATTGTTAAGCTACTGCACCACTGAGCCGTCAACGCCGTCGTGCTTGTGTACAAATACCTAATAATTTAAGTAATAAGAAAGATGATTTCTGGTCGTTTTAAAATAATTCTGTTAAAAGATTTTATATTAACAATAATAAAAAAATTTAATCCCAATAATAATAACAGTAAAATTAATAAAAAATATTTTCCATTGTTGATTGAAAAATTTTTCTACATTTTTTCACGATCATATGAGTCGTGCACATCTGGATTTTCCAAACTTTTTTTATTGATGTTTGACATAAAATTATCGCAAAATTAGAAGTAATAGTAAGTAATACGAGGGGCACACTGAAATGATCGGAATAAGAAAAACTACATGCACGGTATAGCTAAATTGTATTTTATTGTTTTTCGAAGTATTCTCCATTCAACTTAATGCACTTTTCCATTCGTGTAAGCCAATCATTAAAACAGTAATTCCAGTCTGAAGTTGATGTTGACAAAATGGCTAATTTGTACGCTTCCACAGCCGCTTCGGGGTCTTCGAACCGTTGACCGCGTAATAAATCTTTCATTCTAGGGAATGTAAAGAAATCGTTTGAGGTCAGGTCAGGACTGTACGGAGGATGGCTCATCAGTTCAACGTTTTCCTGCTTAAAAAAAATCATTTGTCTTCCGAGCCGTATAGGAGCTCGCATTATCGTGACGTAAGATGATGCGACGTTTCGGGTTACTTTTTCGGAGTTTGGCTATCATTTCTGGCAAACAAACCGTGATATACTACTCAGCTGTAACCGTTCTGTGTTCCTGTAAAGGAATTGTAGCAACATGCCCCTTTTTCAAGACAAACGTAGCTACCATTTTCTTTGACACGCTGCGCGAGCGAACCACTTTCGTTGGTTTGACCTCGTCATCGAGGTCCCAAACTGCTGACTGATGTTTTCTTTCAGGTTCGTACGAATAGATCTATGATTCGTCACCTGAGATGATATTTTATTTATTTTTATTAAAGGCTAGGCTTCATAGTCAGTTTAAGGTTAGCAAATCAGGGGCCGATTATGAGGCGTTTGCTAAGTGTAGATCGTATGAAAAATATTTAATAAACTCCACGTACAAAAATAATAAAAACCGGATGCAGAGTGAGTTTCAGGAAAATCCAAAGGCATTTTTGGACTTACATTAACTCAAAAAAAGACACCAGAAGTCCACGCAAGATTTTAAAAGATGATAAAGTGTGAGATAAAAGATGGTAAGCAGTGTGCTACTGAGTTTGTTCAGCATTTTTATTTAGCCCTAAGATGTCTAAGCTGGACGTGGAGGCGGCAGTGAAACAGGCTGGTAGTGAGAATGGAGCGGCTAGGGTACACTTAGAATAACTAAAGCTTGGTGAAGTACTTTACGCTCTGCAAAAACTCAAGCCAAAAAGTGAACGGGACCTGATGGCATACCGCCCTACATTTTCAAAGACTGCCGACTAGTACTTTGTAAGCCACTTCTCTACATCTTTAATCAGTGCCTGGCGGAGGCAGTGTTTCCAGAAAGATGGAAACCAACCGAGGTCGTCCCAGTACCCAAAGGAAAGTCAGCATCAAACGTGGACGAATACAGGCCGGTTGCTGTGCTTTCGACACTAGCTAAAGTACTGGAGGCTGCAGTACACAAGAGCATCCTCTCGCAGGTTAATGTACAGCTTTCAGATGAGCAACACAGTTTTAGACCCGACGGGAGCACCAACAGCAACCTAATTAACTATATGAATTATATTGTACCTGAAGTGGATGCTGGAGGACAGGTAGATGTAGCTTTCTTGGATTACAAAAAAGCTTTCGACCTAGTGGATTATGACATACTGCTCACAAAACTGGCAGGTGTAGGATTTTCTTCACATTTACTAAAATGTTTGCTAGTTATATGCGGGACAGACAGCAGTATGTAGAATATGCGGGGTGTAGGTCAGAAAACTATTTTACTAGGTCTGGAGTAAGTCAGGGCAGCAATCTCCATTGCAATTCATATTGATGATAAATGACCTTCCGACAGTTGTCATAGATGCTCATTGCACTCTATTTGCAGATGACCTGAAACTGTATCTTGCTGTTAGGAACAGAGAGGATTGCCAAAAGTTACAACAAGATATAGATAGGGTGGTAACCTGGAGCAAACATAATAACTTACAGTTTAACATCACGAAGTGCATAACCATCACTTTCAGCCGTGTACTATCTCCAGTTACGTACCAATACCAAATTAAAGGAGTACCAATAGCGAAAGTGTCAGAAGTCAAAGATCTAGGGGTTAATTTCTCCTCTAAACTAGAATTTCGAGAGCATATAACCATTATCTGTAAGAAAGTCTACAGAAACTAAGGATTCGTACTACGGGTAGCTAGGGACTTCACTAATATAAAGGCAGTTATTGCATTAGCAATTAGAATTCAACGCGGTCATCTGGTCTCCACATGAAACTAGGTATAGCACCATGTTGGAGAGAGTGCAGAATATATTTATTAGATATTTATATCAAAAAATATATGTAGTACACCCATTTTACCCAAATAAGTATCCTACCTTATTCACCTTAGGTATGGTAGGATACAATGAGCTAAAGGTTAGAAGGAATTTAGCGCTTGTTTCTTATATCTTTAGGGTGATGAGGGGAAAGATTCACAATCCCGACGTAATGCAACAAGTGCGCATATGTGTTCCGGACAGATACTTGTGGCGGCGGCGGCGGCCGCAGCTGCAAGCTGTGCCGCGCAGCCGCACTAAGCTGGTGACTGAAGCTCCGTTTACGCGCGCCCTCCGTATCCTCAACCATATAGCATAAGACATAGATGTAGTTTGTTGTACTCTGGGTGGGTTCACAGTAGGAGCTCTATTTGAAATTAGCTATAGTCCTATGGTGACATAGATATGGTGTTTGAAATAGCAAAAAGTACATATTTATAATCGAAAATTATTAGCTTCTAACGGTGTAGTTGGAGTTTTTAAAAACAGTTGTCTACATTATCGCATTAGGTGATAAACCTGTAAAGATAATTGTATAGTGGGAAATAAATATATAATAAATAAATTATAAACGGCATTTGACTTCCCTCCGTTGAAGCGTTGCAGAATATTCCGGCACCAATCTACACGAGCCGCCTTTTGCTCTTCGGACAAATTGTGGGGACCCCAGTGGGAAACTAGCTTTCTAAAACAAAGCTCATTATGTAATATCGACTGAATTTCAGTCATTCCGATACTGATAACAGCCCGAATCCGCTCGTATGTCACATGACGGTCATCTAATATAATAGTTTTCGCACAGCTGCGATGTTTTCAGGCGTGACCGCCATTCTTGGTCGACCTGCAGAAGATACAGTGCTGAGCGACACACGACCGCCTCGGAACTCGGTATACCAGCAGTATATTGTCGTTTGACTCGGTGCTTCACATCATAAATCGAAACAAGTTCGCTGAGACGTTTATCTTGAGATAAGCCGTGACGAAAATTGTGATAAATTATGGCACGGAAATGTTCACGCGTGAGCTCCATTTCTATTAACGACGTGTCAACTTTAAACCAACATAGTTTTTGTTTTTAAACATTTTTTTTAAATTGTTTGAAGAGGCCAGTATTCAAACTCTAAAAAAGGTTTTATTGTAACTCAATCCGAAATATTCTATTTCCGATCATTTCAGTGTGCCCCAGTAAGGTTATTTGTGAAAACTGGTGTGTATTTAAAATACTTTAAAAAATTGACATATAACATGAGCGCTTAAGGCATGCACATTTGGATTTACCAAAATTTGTTTACAATATCATTATCACAAATTGTTAACTAATTTGTCAATTTTTTTTTTGGTTGACCTTCTGCTTGAGTAGTGCTACCAACCTTATATTTCGTTGAATAATTTTAAAGGGATGGCCTGTATGAAATTATTTTTATAGACAAGACGCCTTATTTGAGTTTTTATGGCATTTCATGACATATGACTATGTTGTGTCCCCTAGTACCCAGTGGCGGAAAACTCGTTTTTTGTTTCGGGTACCATGGTCCCCCGTGGTGCTTGATTGGTTATCGTTATAGAGTAATATTTTAAAAAGAAAATCAAGTTAAAGTGGGTTCGAATCATAAACTAAATCGAATTCGAAATAAATTTTGGAAGAAAGCCAGCAGTTTTATTATATTTTTTCATTTTAGGTTTATGGGAAGCTGTAAAAACCAATTCACAGGAATGCCTCAAGGCTGGAGGTGTTGCAACAGGGTCAATCGGTCCCATAAAATTTTATGGTAAGCATATTTCAAATTCCATTAATCAATTCCAATACAAATAAAGCCAAACTTTAACATATTTCATATATGAGGCATTCATCATCATCATCATTACAGCCCTTCACAAGCCCACTGATGAACGTAGGCCGCCCCCAAGGAATGCCATAAAGCACGGTCTTGAGCCACCTGCATCCATCGACTTCCTGCAAGTCTTCACAGGTCGTCACTCCATCTAGTGGGGGGTCACCCAACAATATGCCTATCGGTACGAGGCTGCCACTCGAGAACCTTTTTTCCCCATCGGTTGTCGGTTCTTCGAGTTATATGGCCGACCCATTGCCACTTCAGCTTACTAATCCATTGGGCTATGTCGGTTACTCTGGTTTTACTGCGGATATTCTCATTTTTTAGTTTACCACGCAGAGAAATCTCGCATAGTCCTCTGTATAGCACGCTACGCAGGCGACCTTGAACGTCCTCATACGGACAGCAGTGAATGACCACGTCTCAGATCCATTAGTTATCACTAACAACCCGCACTGGTTATACAATCTTGTTTTCAGGTTTTGATGCATACCTGACGAGAAGATGTGTCGTAATTTCCCGAACGCTGCCCAGCCGAGTTGAATCTGTCAATTGGCCTCTCGGTCGAAGTTGGACTTACCCATTCAGAATATTTGTCCCGGGTAAACGTACTCGTCAACAACATCGAGCATAGTGCTCCCAACAACTACCGGCATAGGTGTGACATGGGCGTTAAACATGATCTTTGTTTTGTCCATGTTCATCTTAAGACATATCCATTGGGAGACACTATTGAGTTCATTGAGCATAGTGCTTAGGTCCTCCAGCGATTTTGCCGTAAGAACTATATCGTCGGCAAATCGAAGATCAGTGATGTACTCGACATTGATGTTAATACCGTATCCTTTCCAGACCAGCAGCTTGAAAAAAAATGACTTTAAGTACTGGTTTTCAACCCGCTTTCAGAAGCTCTGCCGTAATATCTGTGGGGCCGTTTAATGTAATCTCGCCGTAATGTGGGGGAGTGTACGGAAAGTTGTTCTTGGATCGTTACTCACACTTGCGTAAGGCTCCAACGATGATGTATATTGAACTGACCAATGAACCTCTCAATCTCACTCAAAATCTCAGGTGTCCCGGAAACGATGCTGCCACACTCAGTCTTCATCTTTGACAGTTGGCTCTTTCTTGCAGACAGATCTCTGGCAGACTTTAGAGATCTGGTTTCGCTCAACTGCTTCTTTAATACGAGCAGTATTAAAACTGCGTATGTCCCGCCGTATGTATTTGGGGATCTGTAAGTTCAGTTGCCTTTATGCTGCCAAATCTGTTATAGACTGCAGTTTCTCGTCATGTCAACAACGTCCATAAGATTATGAGTGTGATTGGAGAATTTTTGTGTTCTTCTGCGGCGAGTCTTGCAGAACTTAGCTCCGACCAAATGGACAGTTTCCACGAGCTTATTATTCATATCGACACCTGGGTTGCAGTCTTCTAGGCACTGAAAACAATTTTGTAACTCCAGCTGAAAAGTTTCGGGACTCTGGATTAGAGTAAAGGGGGTACGGAGCTTTGCCTTTATTGGACAAAACCTCTCCAATTTTGGTTCTTTGTGCCAACCATTTGGTGATTGCTTCCAGTGTTCATCCATGCGATCACTGAGACATAACTCAATAGTTGCCGTCAAGTCGTTAAAATGAAGTCAATCTCATTTTTGTCAAACCGTCGGGGCTCGATCAGGTTCACTTTCTGTGGGGCCGCTTCTAAAAGAAAGACTTCATCATAAATACTATCTCTTTCTCCATGAATTTGGCCAGCTGCTGGCCCCTTGGGTTCCGTTGCCTATCCCAAATTTACCTACCTTTAGCTCACCGTCCTTTCTTGTGCCTAGTTTTGCGTTGAAGTCTCCCATTAACAACGTTTAGTGAGTTTTGGAGAAACGCATGGCTCTAAAAATACCCTCATATATTTCCTCCGCCTCCTCATCAGGTTATGCCAAGGTTGGTGAGTAAACCTGTATGACCTTCGGCGAATACCGTTTGGTGATTCTGAGTGTAAGGTACGCAATCCTCGTCGACATACTCCCAATCTTTACAACGTTGTTAACGAGAAACTTGTAGACGATAAATCAAATACCTTGGGACAGATGGTCGCCCTTCCGGTGATAGACCAAGTTGCCAGATTCAAGAATCACCGTGTTCTCCCCTCTCTTCGAACCTCGGATAATCCTATAATAATCTAGCGCAATTTGTTCATCTCTTCTTCCAGCTACAGGATCTTCTCTTCAGTCCTCAGGGTGCGTGCGTTGTACGTTGCCAGTTCGTGTAGTCTTAGGTGGCAATTGAACTTCTACCAGAGATTCTTAGCATCCCCTGCCCCGCCGTTACCATGGTAGCCACCGTGGTCAGGAATAGCAAAATGCTCGTGGGGGGAATATTGCCATAGCTGCCACGCTTGGCAAGCGGGTTGGCAACCGCAGTTTTTTTGCTGTTCAGTTGTTGTTATTAGCAAGATGCTGCTGCCCATCTCCTAACTGTTTCCCTCTGAAAGATATTGGGTAGTGGATATACCTAATCGCCTCTACACGGTACGAGGCATATACATTCAGTAATTAAGAATAGAAAACCTTTTAAAAATTATTTTTTTGCGTTCCATTCAATATAATTTGTTGACTTGTCCACTTTTCCCCAGTGAATTTGTGGGATCGTAAAAAATTGTGTGCTCTTAACTGGTTTCTTATGTTATACAGGTTCTTTATATTGCTTACATACTGTGTATTTTTGGGCGCACTTCTATTAGTAAAATACAATCGCCAGTAGTTTATCTGGAAGTAGATAAATTATTATTCAATGTTTATATTGAAATTTTAGTCTCAAAATTATTTAAATGAAAATTAAAAATGAAAAACATGTTAAATATTATGTTTATTTACGCAGTTAAATAAGGAGTGATATGGTTCTGTCTAATGATAGTACTAGTAATACTAAGGCAATAAATTTGTAGTAAAATACAACAATTCAATAAAGATATGTTATAAAAAAGAAAGCACAGTACCTAAGCAACAACAACAGTGGTAGAGCGACGTGGCAGCTTTTGATGATGTACGTATGGGCCAACTCGAACCGGGGTGAGTTACAGAAATCTAGCGTGAAGTGGAAGCTCTGCTTCTGCATTTCGTCTGGTGAGTGCAGGTGGCCGGAAGCCCAATTTCTCCCACCCACCTAACATGGGAGTGGCCTTAAAAACAACACTACCCCAGGACAACCCTGGTGACGGAGAATCCCTCGCTGAGCATCTACGCCCAAGCTACCCTAATCTTCCTGAGCGTGGGTGCTCAGGCTACCTCACGTATCTTGCTGGGAGGGAGCGACGAAATTCCGCTCGGGACCTGCTTAGAGCAAACTGAGCAATAAGACAAAGGCGCGCCCTGTCACACTATCTATGAATTTCTGCAGCATCAGGGGACTTCATCCAAACCATAACGCCATCCAATACAATCTGGAAACGGTGAAGCCGGCCTTGCTTTTTCTAACCGAGACACAGGTGTCTTCTCCAAACAAATTAGAACTACAAACTAGAATACTCATTTGTGCCGCGGGCTGTACTTTGCGTGTACGTCAGAGAGGACATCTGTTTTTGACGTCTCGGCAGCCATGAAGGTACGGACCTGTCCTTTCTATACCCCAAGATACGATACGCTGCGCGTAGACAGCGACGACCATCCTCGCGTCTACGGGTACCTCTATAGGTCCTATAGCGGTTATGATAAGACAGACTCACTGACCACGTCCTAATGGCTGCAGACTCCGTGCTACAACTGGTCCCATCCGCAGAAATCGTGATGCTTGTTTATTATAACTCCTACCGCGCTGAATGACTTGGTTCCCGTTAAGCCGATCATGCGGGTAGATCTGTTTATGAATCTGCTTTGGCATTTGATCTGACATAGCTGGTTACCTCGCCTACGCGGATCCCAAACGTGAATGATCATGTACATTTCTTGTTAGGACTTATGCTGACCACTAATATGGACGCATATCAAATCTCCATCGATACCCCTCCTGGCTCTTCAGACCAATGTCTGATCCGGAGTACGGTGCTACTCATGCTCCCATCGCGGTTGCGTATGCAGTTTTCCGCTGTGTTTGGCATTTTAGTTTAGCCGATTGGAACAGCCGGCCTTCCGACGTCTGTGGCGTTGCACCACCAAATCGTTCCGTCCGTCTCCAACTGGCGTTGACTTCGGGCACGGACACCCGCCGTGTCTTTTTTAGGCAAAATCGGCATATTTTATCCCACTTCTGACACCAGTTGTTACGAGCCTAGGATTCGTGACAATAAAAACTGCCGATTGAATTACCAAAATTGACACTTAATTACCGAACACCAATTAAAACTTAAAACACACCAATAATTAATCACACTTAACACTTTAGTTCACTTTATTGCGCTCCTAAGTCTTCGCTTGATTCGCCAATTCAATACTACCCGGTCGCAGTCCTTAACGCCTTTATATGAACCTCTTATAGTGTAACATCCAGAATGCTCTAGCACATACCGATCCCGACCGATTAAGTGTAGAAACTTCTCTCCCAGTTCCGCCACTCGATACTAGATGGCGCTAGTGGAAAAGTTCTAGTATGTACCTTTCTAGAAAGCTAGTTTTTAGTGACATTAATAGTAGTTAATTAGTGACATTAATTATGGCTTGCACCTTAAGTTCTTCGATATACCGATAGTCAACCTGATACTGCTGAAGGTACAGTAGCACCACCTAAATTTCGATGGAATCAATTTGTGCTAGTCTTCAACTTCTGTTCAATATGCCAAAGGGTGTGAATGTGATCTATGGTACTAAAGCTTATTTGGAAACAGATTTGTCTTGAAGGCTGGAAACCGACAATACTGCGTGCGAGACGATTTGTAGTTAGAATCGAAAATAGCAGCAACAGTGGCCCAGAAAGGAAATCAGTATGTAGTTCTTCAACATTGTCGCCTTTCTTGAAAAATTAAGCCACCGCACTTCCACACCACACCTCCAGTGCAGCGCCACCATTGAAAGCGCAACTAACCAGCATTAAAAAAATATGTACCGGTTTTTCATCCACTTTCTGAAACTCTGCTGCAATTCCACCAAATGAAACAAAAATATTTCACTATACTTGATTTTTTTAATTTTCATCATTCAAACATACTGGTTTTCCAACAGTATTTTCCTTCACCATGAAACACGTAACAAAAACGCACGTGAGAAAATGTGAGAATCAGTACATTTTTACCGTGCTTTTGTTTTTATTGTTGTTACAGCATTAACAGATCCTGAAGATTTTATGACTGTTGCGAACTCGTGTTTGGAAAAAGGATTATTATATAATTTTCTTAAACCGTGGCTTGGGGAGGGCTTGTTGACCGCACCGCGTAAGTAAAACTTGCATAAATTTATTTTATGGATTTAAAAGAAAAGTAAAGTTTTATTTTTGTGACTATTACAGTAGCAAAATGGAAAACCCACCGAAAGTTACTAAATACAGCATTTAACCAGCAAGTTTTAGATGGATTTTTAGACGTTTTCAATATCCAATCGAGGCGTTTACTTGAACAATTCGCTGTGGAAGAGGTAAGTCCTTTTATAATTTTTTTTTTGTTAGTAAGGATGGAAAACGAGTACATGCCCCGATACACGATTGGTAATGCATGTTTATTTTTTTTTTTTTTTTTTATTTTATTTAACAAGTACACTTACAATACACATATATAACAATTACGAATACATACACATTTCTGTACTCTCTGATATGTATATCAATTACAAGTGTACATAACATTCACAGATTGAGTCATGCAATTTAGGGTTAATTTGGAGTACTAAATATAAAAAAACAGGTTTAATTTTTAAAAGGGAATGTGGTGGATATTATACTCTCTTCAGGAGTATATATATTTTTCATTAACGTATAAGATATATTATATTGCAGATGTAATTTGTATCAGAAACTAGATGATAAATGATTTGTAATTTTAATTTTGTATGCAATATAAGAGTCATTAAATATGTCAATGCCAGGTATGGTTTTAAAAAATTCGTTATATTTTCCACATATACGCACGATAGGAGCGTGACTCCCGAGATGAGTTTTCGCGAAAGGAATTCATGTTTTAGTTCAAATGCAACATTTTATCATTAATCAAAAACCAAAATGCAGATGCGTTACCAACCTTGATTAATTGAATGGAATATCTAGGGAGCATTTCAAAATTAATATTATTAAAAAAAAACATGCATGCAGGTGTTATGTGGTCACGCGGAAAAAGTGAAACCTTTAGAAAACTAAACTTCGAGAGAATGAGACGATTGCAGTTTATAAAATTTGAGATAAAACTTAATTTTATAGCAAATAAATGTAACAATCCTTATTTTTAAACATGAAGTAGAGCCTAAATTTTAGTATAATTTTTTCAAGTAGTATTGTTTTGTTATTGCGCCATCTAATTCATTATATAAGTAGGTAAAGTTATTTTATCGAACAAAAGTTGATTGACTCCCAAGGTGGTACGTAAAATAGACACTAGATGGCCTGAAGTTATGAAATCGTTAATTGTAAATATTGTAATGAATAGATTGGTTAAGATGACGTTATTGAATGTGGTAAATTAATTAGATTATTATATATAACTTGTATACTGTTTATTTTATCAGTTAAAATATATTTTAACTATCTTTAAGGTACCGATATGATGATATGATGCCGAAAATATGATATATTGAAATTGCTTTTATTTGATATGCTAAAAATGCTTGTTTTATTAGTTCAGTAGTCAATGGCGACAGTGGTCGAATTGCGGATTCGAACCCACAACTCAAAAGTGTTCGCAGTCCGCATCCTGTCCTTAGGCTACTATCATTTACTACGCCATATTTTATCTCATTCTTTTGCAGACTATATCCAATAGATGTATAATATGTTTGTCTCTCTTTGATGTTACTTTTTCGTTTCATCGAGTTTCAAATCACAATGATTCTAGAGAATATTTCATTACGAAAACATTTTTAAGAACAAGCATTTGTTTATATTCCACAAAAATAAGAAAATAAATTTTGAATTAAATCATACCCATAATTTTGTTACATCATACCAGTTTATGTATTATATACATATATATGTCAGGTTACTTGACTTGTGACTTGTTAGTAACGTTCTTAACCATTTAAATAAAGTGTTGAGAAATATTTCGACAAACAATGGTGAGCGTTGGAAGGATAAGTTAACTGTAAACTAACTCTTAGTTAATTAGTGAAATTTTAGAAAACTTTTTACAACCTATACATAACTATTAGTTAATCTGTGCTTATATACCTTTGTGGAATATTTAGTATAATTATTACAATAACAATTACACAATAACAGATGCTTATTTTTGTTTTAGTGACAGCAACAGGTATAGATTTAAGAGCCGACCAAACACTCAACGAAAAGTTTGTGACCCTAACGGATAGAGTTTTTAGAAGTGTGATTCACAGAATCCAAAATATATGGCATTACATAGATTTTATTTGGAAAATGAGCAGTGCAAAAAAGCAACAAGATAAAGATATCGAGTTCTTACACGATGTGACAAACATGGTATATGTTATATTCTTATTTAGTCTTTTTGTTTTTAATTCTTTTTCATCTTAGTCCTCACGGGTGGCAATACTTCCGTAATCATCTTTAATTGAATTTCGTAATATGGTGGACAACTAGCTTGTGAATCACGCAATTGTGAATAGGCCTTATAATAATCAAAATGTTAAGGTATATTGCATTGAAGAAGCCAACCTGAAAAGCGTATGGAAATTATTTCTTTTTCTACTTTCTTTTTTCACCTTTTGAATATATTCGCAAACATTGCAGGCTCAATGTGTCATCTAAATAATCGTCTTATAGTTTTACATTAAAAACTTCATCTCCCATTATTCAAAGATTTTTTTATTAAAATTTACATGCGGTCACCCCTGAAGTATAAATTTATTCAATAAATTAAGATTTATTAAAATTCAATAAACCGTTTCCGAGAAATCTATGAACATATCTAAAGAAACATTCCAGTACCGTGCAACGGCGGTGTTAGAATATCTACAACCCAATGTCTTCCCGCGGGTATCCTAAGAGCCGACCGAGGGAAAAGGAGTTAGAAGATGGGCAGCAGCATCTTTCTGGTAATAAGATAACTACTATAAAATCAAAAGATCAACAGCTGGCTGAATCTTTATTCCAGAAGCGGCTCACAGAAAGTGGACCTCATAAAGCCCGGACTGTTCCAAAAAAATTTAGATTTACGTCATTATGATAACGAGACGGCAAAAGTTTAGTGATGTCTGAGTGATTGCGAGGGTGAAAACTGGTAGTGATGACCGAATAGTAATAAACATATTGAACTGTAACATTCAGGAGGAGAGGTCTCGTCTCATGAAGTGAACGTTAGGTCCCCTTCATTTTCTAATCCAAAGCCCCGACAACTTTCAGCTTGAATTACAAAATAATTTTCAGTGGCTATAAAATGTTAAAATGTGTATCTTTTTGTTCTCGATGCTGTAGTACTAAATGAAATGACTGCAAATTTATATAAAAACTGGTATAATAGGGAACTAAACGTTACAGAAGGTTTAAATTAAAATGATATTATATAAGCGTCACTCCCGCTACACTCCTAGCCGATCGCGGCTGCCAGCAGACTGGTTTTACCGCTTTTCTCACCTCAATATCGTTCAGTGATCTGAACAGTATCAAAATATCCATCTAGAGATTAATAAATAACAGCTAACGCCAACAGTTATTTTCTGAGGGCACTCTTCTTTAATACCTTGTGTCATATAAATGAAATAAACATCAGTCCAAGCAGATGCGTCGTTTCCATTTTATTAGAAAATTGCAATACAGCGGATGATATGAATGACCAGTTCATGGAAACTGTCCATTGGAGCGGAGACTGGATCAGAGCTAGGTTCCACAAAAACCTGTCGCTGTAAAACCCAAGAACTCTCCGATAATATTCTTTATCTCAAAGCTATTAGACGGGAAATGAAGCTGTCTTAAAAATGCTTGGCAAACAGGCATCTGAACAGACAGATCACTTAGCTTATGCAACTTCAGTACAGCTCGTAATGAATAAGCGATTGAATAAAACTAAGGTTCCAAAGTTTTTGATAGAGATATGCTCGTCGGAAAGATCCAACTGTCAATTTTGAAGACCGAATCTGCTGCCATCCTCTCCGGGACACCTGAGATTTTTAGTGAGATTGTGAGGTTTACAGACAGCTGTACATCGTTTAAGCAAATATGAGTAACCATCTAAAAGCAAGACTCATCCAACACTGTTCTAATAATATCCTACACGTGTGTTTGAGCGAAAGTAGAATAGCTCTCTAGCACCTTAAAACGCCAAGGCCTCGGGTGAGGATGTAATAACAGCAATTTTTTAAAAGCTGGTTAAAAACCAGCAATTAAACTCTTTTTACTGGAAAGAGGCGTTCCATCTCAGTCCTCACGGGTGACAACGCATCTGCATTTTGATTTGTAATGGAAGATAGATGTAGAGGTCTATGGGCCGCAGCAACCACTTACCATCAGGTGGACTGTGTGCTCGTTTGTCACCCTATCCTATAAAAAAAAAAAAAAAAAAATTAAACTCTTACAAAAGCCGTTCAATTCCGTCCTTCATGAAGGCACTACTCTATGGACGTTGAGCAGAATTAGAGTCTTGCAAGCAGGCTCGATGATTTCCAGCTTCCTGAACAAGCCAATGTCTTAAAAGGCAGTATTAAAGCCTTTTCACACATACCCAAACCACAAACACACCCTTAGGCAAATTTTACAAAAAGCTGAAGATTAAAATCTGTCACTTTGTCTTGCGTTTGTGGAGAAAGCGCTATCAAGTTAACTATCGCTATATCAAAGTGCTGATTCGTTTGTGCAGTAGAGCTGCGATGGCTTTCCGAGTAAGGAACCAGAATAAAAAATCCATCCATTAGCAGAAAATTTTATTACAGGCTGACGTTATATCCTCGAAACTCTTCAGTGCTGCATTGGAAGACGTTTTCAAGCAACTGGACTAAAAAGTATACGGTATTAATATCAACGGCGAGTACGTCACTCCCTTTCGATTTGCCAAGGGTAAATTCCTTAAGCCAGAATTCCTGGAGTACATCAGCGCCATACTTGATGATTCCAATAGTCCAATAGTGTCCTTGCTTTGAGTATTCAACCAACTGGAGAGGCCATGCGCGTTAATTCCTAAACAAAAAGTCTGCCAATATCAGGGGGGCGCAAGAAAAATACACTACTGTATACTTCACTACAAATGTAAAATTGAATCGCGTCACTATACACACACATTACAGCATTTGTATTTGTGTTCATTGCATTTACGCATACCATCAAATTTTACACGTGGCGATACACTGGCGCCGCTGTCTACATACGTAAGCAATGTAGTTATATCGCCTCAATCCGTCCCTGGCTCAATATTCCAAACAACCACATCAGCATTTTCACAAGAAGCCAAGTTAGATTTCTGTGTATTGTAAGACAAACAACTCCCACACATATCCCGTGACGATATGATAATATTTTAGACTTATTTTACTAACATTAAATTTAATTCATTCTGTCACTAACCACCTTCGGAAGAACATTAAATCATTTTATATTTTGAAATTGTGTTTTTAAAAAGACTGTCGAGGTCCGTCGCAATTTAAGTATGTAAGGCGAAGACTATGTCGATATTATTTATCGATAAACAAATCATCATAATCCGCATAAGATCAGATTCGGTAAAAGTGATTTTTATTATTTTTTCATTCATTACCGCCCTTCTCAAGGTGAATATGCTTAATTCTATGTTTATCATGCAGAAAACCCCGAGCATAGCCATCTCCGTAGCTCGCTGAGTGACTTTGAGCTTCCTCACACGACCAGCAGTAAATGTTTTTTTTGTGTAATTTTTTTATTTATATAGGATTACCAACAAGACGTACACGAACACAACGTAAATACTACAAATTACAGGAAGGTTTATATCTAAGTGTCGTCTTAATTAAAGGTTGCCACGGCATGCAATGTGGACAACGAATATATTTTTTAAAACTTACAACTATAAACTTAAAACTAGGTCTAAATGTTAGTTAAAAGTAAAGGACTGCATAATTTTTCGTTTGAATTTTTGAGGCTTACCAGCAAAAATATCAACGTCACATGTCCTGCAGAGCTGTTTATATTGCCTCTGTAACCTGTTTATGGTGGCGTGGTGACCTAACTTAGTTTTACTGCCTTCGACTGAAAAGGGGACGTATCGACTGACACGCACGAGCTTAAAAGGTACTTTGAAATTTATTGCACTTAGTAGGTATGGACAGTCTACGGTTCCAATGACGATTTTGTGTAGCAACATGAAATCCTGCAAAAGCCTCCGCTGTTGCAGGCTACTTAGTTTAAAATACGTCAGTCGGTCTTCGTATGAGGGTAGATCCTTTATTTTGTAAGTTTGGTACGAAAGATACCACAAAAAACGCTTCTGGATACGCTCTATGCGTTTCAAGTAAATGTCATAAAATGGAGACCAAACCTGACTACAGTATTCGAGGCTGGAACCGATTAAAGACTTGTACAAGGAAATTTTTGTAGAGATCCTCTTAAATTCTTTAGAATTACGCAACACGAACCCCAACATTTGGAGATCCCTTGTAACAATTCCATCAACGTGCTTATGAAGCCGCAACTTTTTGTCCAGAACCACACCCAGATCTCGGACAGAGTCCAGTTCTACCAAAGTGTTACATAAAGTTATGATTTTATTAGTAGGTAAATATAATTATGGCCAGTTTTTGAAAGCCTGATCAAATTCAGATTTTAATTCAAATTTAATCACAAAGTTGGCTATGGGTGTTTTCAACGTTGTCCTTATACCGAACAATAAAAATACTAATGCGTCAGTAGCTTACCCAAAATATCGGATATAATATCAAACCTGTAGTATACATAGCCATAATGCCTTTGGCTGCTAGCATGGTATTTCATCAACCGCTTAATTTTCATTTCATCTATGACCTTACATTAATAACGTTTTTTTTAGCTTAATTTACTTTGGTTTACAGTCTGTTTGCTTAGATACGGTCATTTTTGTGTCGCGCCGCCTCAGTACGTGCCGCATTTGGTCAAAGGTACGATATTAAAGTTCGTACTATAGAGCACCCGAAAGGTCGGGAATCAAAGGTCAAAATTTAACGCGATAAAATCCGTAAAATTAGTTTCATTTAATTTGCAGTGTTCGCGTAAATATAAGAAGTCATAATTGTAAGCTTGTCAAAATTCTAAAATATTTTCAAGAAGAATAACATTGGTGTCAAGGGTAATAATAAAACTATTTAATCTATTGATATAATTACAGCTAGACATTACCTTCTTTTATTGATAACTCTATGAAATATGATTTATCAAAATTTCCTATGCAGATGATACTGCAGTAATATTTACTGATGACTCGAATTCCTAGGATCGCTAAGTGGCTGAACACTAACTTCTTACCTTAAATACTTTGAAAACTAGTTTTAATTGTTTTACAAATTATATTCGAACTCAACCTAATATTATTTCCAAATCAAACTTCACATATACTATGATCCCTTAATTACTAGTTGCAACTGTTTATTAATTAATAAGGTCTCTGAGACCAAGTATTTAGGAGTCATAGTTGACCAACATTTGCCATGGCATAGACACGTTGAATTAATCATGAATAGATTTAGGAAACTTACATTTAAAACACTACGACGAAAAAGTTACTATACCAAATATTATATATTGCTTTAACTTAATCTTAGTATATTGTATTCCTGTAAGGGGTGGATCTACAAAAACCAAATTTCTAGAAGTTGATAGGGCAATGAGAAATTTACTAAAAATTATACATTTTAAACCAAAAGGATCCTCTACAGAAGATCTTTATGCCATAAGTAATGTACTTACTCTTAGGAAACCGTACATCTTATATTCAGTTCTAAGACTGCATAAAGGTATAAAGTTTAAGCATTGTATTGTATCCAAAAGAAGGAAAAACGTAGTGGCTACACCTGTCGCTGATAAAACTGTTTTAGCTAGGAGGCAATATGTAAAACAGTCAGCGACTTTATACGTGGTAGAGCCATGCTGCAGTTATATTAGTAGTATAGTTGTAGCACGAATGGGTCGGCTCAACCGGGGAAGGACCACGCTCTCACAGAATACCAGCGTGAAATAGTAGCTTAATGCTGCTGTATTTCGTATGGTGAGTGTAGAGAACCGGAGACCCTTTTTACTGGAAACGAGGCATTCCATCTCAGTCCTCACGGGTGACAACGCATCTGCATTTTGATTTTTAATGGAGGATAGATGTAGATGTCTATGGGCCGCAGCAACCATTTACCATCAAGTGGACTGTGTGCTCGTTTGTCACCCTATTCCATAAAAAAAATAAAAGCATGAAAATTCATCACCTTAACTACCATAATTGAAAATATGTTCTAACCGAATGGCTATTTCATAAGAGCTATGATGATACTGAGGCTCGATTAAGCAATATGAAATACTGTATGATTTATTTATAACACACACCCACTCACACACACACACACACACACACACACACACACACACACACACACACACACACACACTATATATATATATATATATATATATATATATATATATATATATATATATATATATATATATATATATATATATATATATATATATATAAAGGAGACCTCATTCCAGGTTATAATATATGTATGATTATTTACTGAATAAATTATTTTTATTCATTATTATTATTATTAAACCAATGCGTGTTGCCAGTGATTTCATTTAGATTTGAAACGTTTTCCTCACTGTGCTTTGTAAAGTTCGTACTGAGGTTCGGAGTATCTCAGCGTGACAGGCTTAGAAATGAGGATATCCGCAGTAGAACCAGTTAACCGACATAACCTAATGAAAAGTATTCTGAAGTGGCAAGAGGCCGGTCGTATAACTCGAAGAACCTACGAGTACAACCGATGGGGAAGAAAATTTCTAGAGTGGCATAAAGGGATGGTTGGTCAGGTGGCTCAAAACAGTTACTTGGGCAAGACATATGTTCTACAGTGGATTTAGGACGATTTGTAATGATGATGATGATTAGATATTTAATTTTTATTGGGGCGGTGTAGTCATCTTATCAGTGAATCCGATGCATTTTAATTGCTATCACTTCTTTAATTCAAAATTTGGCATATACACTTCTTTCTGCACTTAAGTTAGGTTATAACCACCCAGTGAACCGTACGGCTGAACCGTAGCGTAGGGTCGGCCCGAGGTGACCACTTCACGTGGGCTTGGCGAGCTTACTTTAAATTTGTCTTATTGGTCTGTGGCGACCGTGTGTCTCCTTCGACGTCCGCCGCAACTGTGGTAGGTACGGAGGAAGAGGATTGTTGATATGACGAAACGCCACTCACCCTATCCTCCAAGACTCTGGTGGGGCTGCATCGTTGATGCGGTGGTGGTGGCGCTTCAGGGTGAGAGGAGTGGCAGCATTGCGAGGTACCACTCTCTACAACCTCTGCAGCCAAATCTTGGTTGGCAGCGAAGCGTCTAAGTGCTCGTTTTTCCTGGCCCTATGAGCTTCCCGAATCGGATACGGAAGCGTCCGTTGCGCAGGTGAATATGGAGGCCATAGAGTAAGGTGCGCCATATATTCTGGATGCATCTTGCCTGAGACGGTTCTCCTTCTTAGGGGGAGGAGTAGTCCTCTCAAGAAGAGAGGCGACCATGAGCGGCCAATGGTGGATGGGCCCTGCAAACAGTTCAGAACATGGTCCCTGCCAATATATGGCGAAATTGAAACACCATGCCGGTCGTGGGAGTCCGACATAACTCATCCTTGCACCCGCAAGGCGAGTATACGTAGACATTTTCCCATGTATAACAAAGAGAGTGTGACCAGACAATATGATAAATAATAAAGTTTAAATAAGTATTAATTAAGCATCTCGATTTGAGTTATCATTGTTTATAATTGTCCGGGCATTATAAATAGTGCTCTGGTTAATCACTTGGTTAATAACAAACATATATAAGTATGTAGCGAGGGCCATGGCTGCCTGTGTGGGCGAAAGCGTTTCCGTGACCCTATAAATAGAATTATATTAGGTGATATTACGATGACTAACCGGTTGGGTAAAACGATTTCTATTTCTCTCGAATTTTGTGATTTTTTCAGATTGTAAAGCAACGTAAGAAAACGTATCTTCCGACTTCGACTAAGACCACAGGTTTGTTAAACACCAAAAAGTATATTAATTTAGTTTTTATATATTATATATATATATTCGTCTTACAGGTAAAAATCTTAAGTCAATTAGCGATGTGTTATTCGATCTGGAAGGTTCGAATGGCGAAAGCGCTCTCTCAAATCAGGACGTAAAAGATCACGTTCTTAACTTGATTGTGGCCGGTTATGACACAGTTGGAACAAATCTTGTAATTACACTTCTCTTAATCGGCTCGTATAAGGAAGTTCAAGATAAAATCTACAATGAGTAAGTATTAAATAGATTTACATAAATTTAAAAGTTTACTACGTTTTATTTATAAATTCATTCAATACAAAAGTATACCACAAATCTATACCAATTACATTCTTCTGATAATTTCTTCTTTTCCTTTGAAATACGGGTTTACGGGGTACGGGCGGGTTTGCTTCTCGCCGGACGATCCCAACTTTGTTGCGGATTCTGTCGCTGATGTGGTACTTCAGGGTATGGAACTTTTTATTCCTTCCTCTGTGGTGCCCATTGGAGGCAAATCTCAGCCATGGTTTGGTCGCTTCTGTAAAATAGCATCATGGTATAAGCAGGAGTGCTACCGAGCCTGGGCTGACGCATCAGCGTCCCGGGATGTAAACACCAGCGCTATAAAAAAGAAGTATAATTCCGCCTCTAGGTCCTTCAATAGAGTCATTGCCAAGGCAAAGTCAGAGCACATAGGCAGAATTGGCGAGAAACTAGTTCGCCTTCCTTCTGAAACCCGTGCATTCTGGTCTCTCGCCAAGGCTGTCCAGGGGAATTTCTGTCAGCCACCTCTTCCATCTCTGCACAGAGAGGACGACTCACTGGCCCATACCGCAAAGGAGAAAGCCGATCTTCCAGGCTCTTTCTTTGCGTCCAACTCGACTCTCGATGACGGGGGGAGTACGCCGCCGAAAATCCCGCGGTGTGAGTGCTCCATGCCGGAAGTGCAGTTCACACAGCGCTCGGTTCGCAAAGCACTCCTCTCCCTGGACATCCACAAGTCGAGTTGGCCTGACGGAATCCCCCCAATTGTGCTGAGGACGTGTGCTCCAGAGTCGGCACCGGTTTTAACGCGCCTTTTCCGGTACACCTACTCCCTAGGCGTAGTCCCAAAATCATGAAAGACGGCTTTCGTTCACCCGGTCCCTAAAAATGGTGACCGCTCAGACCCGTCCAACTACCGGCCTATCGCCATCACCTCCTTGTTCTCCAAAACAATGCAGTCCATTGTAAACTGCCAGCTTATGAGGTACCTTGAGGATCACCAGCTGATTACTGGCCGCCAATACGGTTTTCGCCGTGGTCGGTCAGCTGGTGATCTTCTGGTCTACCTAACTCATAGGTGGGCGGAGGCAGTCGAGTCCAAGGGGAAGGCATTGGCCGTTAGTTTGGACATTGCGAAGGCCTTCGATCGGGTTTGGCACAAAGCGCTTCTTTCGAAGCTCCCTTCCTATGGGCTTCCCGAGAAATTGTGCGATTGGATCACCAGCTTTCTTACAGATCGGAGCATCAAGGTCGTTGTAGACGGCGCAAGCTCCGATAGCAAGCCTATTAATGCTGGTGTTCCACAAGGCTGCGTGCTATCGCCAACGCTGTTTCTTCTGCATATCAATGATATGTTGCAAACCCTAAAACATTCATTGCTATGCAGATGACAGCACTGGTGATGCTCTTTACACCGGCCGAGCCAATATTTCTCGGGAAAACGTCTCCGAGTTCCGGGAAAAACTTGTGTCTGAAGTCGAGTCTTTGCTGAACAGAGTCTCGGATTGGGGGCGACTAAATCTAGTCCAGTTTAACCCCCAGAAGACACAAGTTTGCGCGTTAACCGCTAAAAAGAACCCCTTTGTCGTATCTCCTCAGTTTCAAGGCACTCCCCTTGTTGCCTCAGCCAGTATCGGAATCCTCGGTGTTTACATATCGAGTGACGTGCAGTTTCGTGGTCACTTGGAAGAGAAGGCCAAATTGGCCTCTAAAATGCTTGGCGTGCTCAGCAGAGCAGGACAGTATTTCATGCCGGCACACCACCTGCAACTTTACAAGGCGCAGGTTCGGCCGCACATGGAATACTGTTCCTATCTCTGGGCTGGGGCTCCCCAGTACCTGCTCCTTCCACTTGACCGCATCCAGCGCAGAGCGGCTTGAATTGTCTACGACCGAGTGCTTTCCGATCGGCTCGATTCACTGGCACTGCGAAGAGATGTTGCATCTCTTTGCATTTTATTTCGCATATACCATGGAGAGTGCTCTGAGGAATTGTTCGAATTAATCCCAGCCGCCAAATTTCGTGAACGCACTACGCGGCAATCGTCCTGATACCATCTACACCATCTGGATGCTTGGCGGTCCACCACAGTACGTTTCAAAAGGAGTTTTCTTCCGCGTACAACCTCTCTTTGGAATAGTTTACCACCGGCGATTTTTCCGGACCGATACGACCTGGGGACCTTCAAGAAAAGAGCTTACTCCTTTCTAAAGGGCCGGCAACGCACCTGCAATTCCCCTGGTGTTGCGGTTGATCATGGGCGGCGGTAGTCACTTAACATCAGGTGAGCCGCATGCTCGTTTGCTCCCTCTTCTATAAAAAAAAATATTTTCGTAATGATTTTTATATTTACGTGGATACTTCACATGGAATAATACAAATTTATCGACAAGTTTATCGTCGCACACCACCGCAGCTACAACGTACTATTACGGACAACTAATATTACCGATTTTATCGCATTTTATTTTAGCCATTTTAATTCCCGACGTTTATTTCCGATGGTTCTCCCCAATTATTTCAGATTTGATAGACCACAAATCCTCGCAAAAGAACATCAATTCCTACCAAGGATGATTCGTTGGCTATTAAAATTAAAAAACATTCTAATTTCAATAGAGAAGATGGCTGGGTGCTACCATCTGCTTGGAATCCCGTAATTAATAAAATTAAATCATAACTCAAGCATACTACTGCGGGACTTCAAGATACTAAGTAAGCTCGTTCTGCGTAGATCGGACCAAAATTAATATTTAAAAGTTTAATGTAGCTACGTTATCATAAATTCGAGATTTTGAACCCCTTTTTTATAACATAAGGTGACAAACGAGCACACATCCCACCTGATGGTAAGTGGATGCTGTGGCCCATAAGCATCCAAATTTATCTTCAATCAAGAATCAAAATGCAAATGCGTTGTCACCCCTAAGGAATAAGATGGTGTGCCTCGATTCCAGTAAAAAGGGTCTCCGGTTCTCTAAACTCACCATACGAAACACGGCAGCATTACGCTGCTATTTTACGCTGGTATTCTGTGAGAGCGTGGTCTGCCCCGGTCGAGTCGACCCATTCGTGCTACTATTTTACAGTTGCACCGTCGCTCTACCACGTAAACCTCAATCTCCTCCCGTAACCATGGGCGCTGGAAAGTACTCGAAATGACGGGAATTAAAAAATATTAAATTAAACGCGGTAAATTTCGTAAAATTAGCTTTATTCCAAATGTTTTCGTTTTTATATCCATAATATATCAGAAATATATTCAGTACGGTGTGGTGATTGATGTGCAACGCTGCTGGAAGCGACTCCTGAAAGATTTGTAGTGGGACACTGCAGACTGTTAATGTTGAACTTATGTATTATTCTTAACGTTTCTTTATTTTATTTGTACTAAGGCTTCAACAAGTATTTGGCCAGTCCGACAGGGATGTTGAAAAACAAGACTTACCACGTCTTACATATTTGGAGGCAGTTATAAAGGAATCTTTGAGGTTGTACCCAATTACTCCTGTTATAATCCGACTTATCGACAAGGATTTAAAACTAAGTAAGTCTCAATTTTATACGTTATATTTATTCATTCATTTTTCTCACAAATTACATAATATTTGCTCTTTGCACACATTCATGGATATATTTAATATGCTTAATTATTCTTATTTTCGAATACAAGTTAAAATCTTGTTTATGCTACCTATTTAAAAACATAACTAAAAGGCGCTGCATTAAATGACCTATTAAATAATCTTGATAATACTTCCTTTAATGAAGCAATATTATGTAATCCCGAAAAATGTGGTGATTTGCTTACGTCTTATCATAGCTGTCTCACTGTTTTGTCTCAAAATATTCGTAGCATCAATGCTAATTTTTCAGGACTTTTAACGTTATTAGAAAGAATTAATACTTGCTGCGACATTATCGTTCTTTCTGAATGCTGGCTATCTTGTAATCCTATAATTCCGATTCTCAATGGATATGATCATTATAAAACTTCAAAACACTACAATAAAAATGACGGTGTTATTGTATACATCAAGTCTTGTTTAGCTAATATTAAAGTAAAAGAACCTATAACAATTGAATTTAACTGTCTGGTGATTACTATAGGTGTAGATGTGGCTATTGTTGCTATATATAGACCACACGCTTTTGTTGATCCTTCAAAATTCTTTCAGTCTCTGGATCTTGTCCTCACGGATCTTAAATCATACCGAACCATTATTCTTGTAGGAGACATTAATATAGATATTGCTAATGGGTTTCATTCTACAAATACTTTAGATTATCTTGATCTACTTGTTCATCACGGACTTCTTCCTGGTCACAACTTCCCAACTCATGGTTCTACCAGTCTTGATCACGTTAATTTAAAAACTGCTTTTTCCGCTATGGTTCTAGTTCTGGAAACTACTGTAACAGACCACTTTGCCGTTATGTTTGCCCTCTCAAAAATTAAAATGAAATTATGTAATCGTAAATTTATAAAAAAAATAAATGAAGATAAGCTTATTCATGAATTACGCTGTATTAACTTTAACTCCGTATACACAACGAATGACCCTAACTTAGCTGTTAAATTCTTGGTCGAACCTATTATTTCAGCTATAGCCAACAATACCAAAACATTATTTCTGTCTTGTAGACGTAGACCTATTAAGCCTTGGATCACTCTGGCTTTGTTGAAATGCATGCGAAACAGAGATAGATTATAATAAAAAATCGAAAAAAGACCCATCAAATCAGATTCTTAGAATTACTTATAAAAGATATCGCAACTTCTGTACCAACCTCCTGCGAAATGCAAAAAGTAATTATGAGAAGCTAGAATTTCAAAGAGCAGGCAAGAACTCCAAACAACTGTGGAAAGTCATTCAAACTGTTACAAATTTATCTAAACAGCAATCAACGGCGTCTGATCTCCTAGACATCAACGAAATTAATACTCAAAAATCTGTTGAGGATATAAACACATATTTTTCAAATATAGGAAAATCACTAGCAGACAAATTAGAAAGAGGCTCGGCAATATTACCGGCATCCGTTACTTATTCCAAATCCTTTGTTTTGCTTGAAACTGACGAGAGTGAAGTCGAACGTTTGATTATGTCTTTGGATAATAACCGAACAGCTGGTTGGGATGGTATTTCTTCAGAATTCTTAAAGAAGCACAAAAATTTTATTATTTCACCTCTAACATATATTTGTAATTTGAGTCTCCAGACAGGTATTTTCCCTGATCTGTTTAAAAAGGCAATAGTTCACCCTATTTTTAAATCCGGCGACCGAAATCGTATCGAAAACTACAGACCTATATCAGTTTTGCCTACGATGTCGAAGATCCTCGAGAAAATAATTAACACATGGCTTGTTAATTATTTAGAGACTAATAAACTGCTCTCTAAAAATCAATTTGGTTTTCGAAAAAAGTTGTGCACATCTGATGCTGTCCACAGCCTTATTGATTTTGTAATCAGGAATCTAGATATACGTCAAAAATGTATTGCCTTGTTTCTTGACCTTACAAAGGCGTTTGATACTGTTTCGATACCCATCCTAATTTCAAAACTTCAATCTTTAGGAGTAAGAGGAATTCAGTTATCTTTATTCAAAAGTTATTTAAGTAATAGAACTCAATGTGTTAGGATTGGTCCTTATAGTAGTTCTGACCTGCAAATTACATACGGTGTACCGCAGGGAAGTATTCTCGGCCCAAGTTTGTTTTTAGTATATATAAATGACCTGTGTAACATCAATCTTTTAAACGGGATGATCTTTTCCTACGCAGATGACACAGCACTTGTGTTTCATTCGAATACTTGGATTGAAACATATTCCCTTGCTCAAAAAGGGTTTGACGTTGTAAATAAATGGTTAAACGCGCATTTACTTACGTTGAACATAGATAAAACAAAATTAATAGACTTTTCTATTCGAAACACAAAAAATTCAACAACAAACTCATTACAAATCGTTGTTAAGCCTCCCCTTGATATAAGAAATAGTACAGACAATAACGACCTACACTATATAAAAAAAGTGACATCTATAAAATATCTCGGAATTATAATTGATAATAACCTCACATTTAAAGCTTACATTGAACACCTGTCAAACAGAGTCCGTAAACTTATTTACATTTTTAAACAATTACGTCAATCTGCAGATTCAGAAATCATGAAGATGGTTTATATGGCATTGTGTCAATCTATTTTATCTTATTGCATATCCACGTGGGGTGGTGCGGCTAAAAGTAATTTTATACAAATTGAACGGGCACAGAGAGCAGTTTTAAAAAGTATGTTGTTTCAAACCGCGTATGTTTCCTACAGACCAACTTTACGACTATTGCCAAGTACTAACAGTTAGACAATTATTCATTTTAACCACCGCTCTCAAACAACATGCCTCAACCAAATATATCCCTGAATGGACACGACGTAACCAACTAGTTGCAAAGTCTACTCAAGTTAAAACTGCATTTAGTCATAGATTCTTCATATTCCTTGGCCCCTATTTATATAATAAATTGCATAAAACCTTATCCCTCTTTTCCCGAAATCAATATGAGTGCAAAAATATTATTCTCCAGTGGCTCCTTAAGCTAACCTATGCAAAAACAGAAAGTCTTTTAGAGGTTGTCGTGTAAAATACACACACACACACACACACACACACACACACACACACACACACACACACACACACACACTTTTCTAAGTTTTCTTAACCATAACCAATTATCTCAATTAGGTACGACAAAAAAGTAAATAGAGTTAAACTTTATGTGCTAATGTTTTAGATATAATAGCATTCCTCGCAGAGGTGGGGACCTGGTGACCTGTAATACGGGTATCTTACCCACCATAGGCACCAGCGATCCACGGGCAAAGTTGTTTTGTACTACTTATAGGCTACTTATAACTCTAAATGTAACTTTGTTTTGTGGTGAGAAATAAACGTTATTATTATTATTATTATTATTATCTCTTATAGACCTACTCCTTAAATAACAAAAGATTGCTGTAAAATAGTAAAAAAAACTACTTTTACGGATTTTATCACGTTTAATTTTAAATGATTTTTATTCCAGACGTTTCTGGTGCTTTCCAGCACCCATGGTCACGGGGGACAGTCCCGCGATAAAATCCGTAAAAGTAGTTCTAATCAATATACGTGGTTATGTTTAACAAATGTGAAGTTTCATTTTATAATGTTGTTGCTGGGTGAAATCGGCGAATCACAGGGCTATTAAATTTTGTAAAGCATCAGATAATAACAGTCTTTATATCTTATTAAGAACTTAAACGCTTAATTTAACATTTCTGTTACTTTATATTACGCTGCGGCTATATTACGGTTATAGCACGAACGGGTTGGATCGACTGGGGTAGGGCCACGCCCTATAGAATACAAGTGTAAAAAACAGCAACTCTACCGTGTTTCGTAAGGCGAGTGTAGAGAACTGAAGACTCTGAAAACGAGCCATAAAGCATAACAACGCATCTAAATTTTGATTCTAAATCGAGGATAAATGTAGACAACTATGGGCAACAGTATTCATTTACCACCATATGGACTTACGTCACTCGTATTGAGCATGCGTATGCACTTTGAGCTCCTTTAACTATTGAGAGGGCTTTGGATCACGGCCTTGCAGTCTTTCTGCACTGTCATCACAAGCCCTCAAAATATGATTTGGTGTGTTGGTTTTTCAAATGTTAAGGTTACCTCCGCTTATTCTTCACTCAACACTGCTTTTAACGATATTAACTTTACTGGCGTGGATGTTGCTTGTGTTACACGCTACGCTACGTACTAAGATACAAAATTAATAAATTTTTTATCAAAATTAAAATTTCATTTATTTTTGATAAATAAATAAAATACCAAAATAAATCAATTGCACAAAGTATAAAATCGATGTAGAATGTATGGTACATTAGTCCTTTGTCTATCAAGGACTAAAAGATATCAAATGGAAATTATAAGCTGAGAATAAACTTCGGACGCGTCAGACAGACGCGGCTTAGCGGTGTGCACGGTAGTCAAGACGGCGTCTTCGGACGCCTCGCTTAGGTTTGTCAATCGAGAAACATGTCAAGCAGCGACAGTGAGGTCGAATTTATAAAGTTAGCGGCAGCTGCTTTATGTCGTCCTCCAAAAGAAAGTGGACCAAAACACTCCTTGTGTTTGGGTCCATGATATTAATGTAAAACTTTGTATCCCGACTTACAAAAAGATGATAAATGTTACAAAGTGTACTGAAGAATTAATTAATTTGTAGTGCTGCAGTTTGTGGTTATGTAATAGGCATTCGTGGCCACGAACAAATTCAATTAATTTTTCTTCATCACATGTCATGTCCCGAGCGCATTTTTTTAAAAAAAACAAAGAGTATTAACAATGCTATAAACATTACTAATATTGCCCTTAACCACTCGTGGTAAGCTTAAATTGCTTGTGTTACGAGTGGTTCACGACAGTAGTCGAATGGCGGATTCGAACCCACGACCTTTTTTAAATTCGCTTCCTGCCATTAGGCTACTGTCACTTTTGGTTCGCTTGGGACACTCAAAACGTCCGCGGATGCATCCCATGCCCCGTTCACACTGTCCGCGGACGCACAAACATCCAGTCGGCTAGATTTTGTTCGGACGTCTGAACGCTCCAGAGCGACGCAAGGTCATATCCGCGTCTTACAACCGGTAGTTTGCACAGTGTAGTTAAATATACTGGCTAGATTTCAATAAGCCGCGTTTGTCAGCCGCGTTTGTCAGCCGCGGCTGACGGACGAGTCTGATAGTTTGTCCTCAGAAGGTAGAAGGTACATTCATAAAAAATTTACTAACAAACTACGCGTACTGGGCTATTCATATAAAATAGGGAAACAGTTGATATAATTCTGAAGCTAATAAAAGAAACTCAATCTCGATATGTCAATTTTTTGGGACTTATCGTGACTACATACAAAATCAGCGTACAGAGATCCGGACATCTACGTAAAAAAAAATTTCAAACCTTTTTTTTTTCAAATTAGTAATATTAAGTTTTTTTTTTTAGAAAATACAAGATGGATTAATTAGAGTATTTTCTTGATATATTATCGTATAAGTGCAATATTGTTATGGTAGAGCCATTTTAAGACCACAAAATTGCTTGACCTTGACGTGTTAGGAATATAGTACTACCTCAAACGCTTCGCGGTACGAGGCGTTCAATTTTAGGCAACCATTCAGTCGCTGAACTATCACAGTTCTATATAAATGTAAACAATACAAAATATCTTATTTTGCAAGCCTATCACAAACGTCAACGTAATACCGTATATACCGTAAATTATTAGTGGCAAGTAAGATGTGAAAATTATGATGATGCTTACGTGACTAAAATGTAAAAATGTTCTTTTGTTATGTTACAGAAAATTGTACTTTATATTCTGGAAAAAATTGTTTGTTATCCATATATGGTGTACACCGACATCCTGTGTGGGGTGAAGATGCGAATGATTTTAAGCCGGAGAGGTGGCTGAACCCGGCAACCTTGCCAAATAATTCAAATTCTTTTTTAGCTTTTAGCCTGGGAAGAAAAAATTGTATAGGTATATATACTGAGATAATATTTTTTAAACTAAATAATTTCTATTAAGGAGTGCAAGATAAGCCTCATTTACATTCAGCCCCTGCCACTGCTCCTCGCGCTGCCGGCCATACTTCGCTAAATACTGCCGTAGCAGGATCGCGGGAAGTGTGTATTTACATTCTACCCTACCACTTTCGGCTTTCGACTATGGCAGACGTCGAAATAATTACGCTGAGTCTTCTTACAATACAAAATTATGTTAATAATTAAAAAAAATAAGTTCAAAAGAAAATAGATAGATAGATAGAAAATTTATTTGCTTAAAAACATGGTACATAAGATGATCAATGACGTGGAACTGACATGTTTTGCCATAATTGGCATGCAAAAATGATATGAAATACAGCTCCACAAACCCAATGTTACATTTTCAAATTATTGCATTGCTGAAAAGTTAGGTACAAACATTCTTTTTGAATTCAAATATTATGTACAATTAAATACTTATACAGATCCACTTTTTTTGAATTCTTATATAGTAAATTGTTCATAAATTATTAATTGAATTATTACATTATTGTTACATAAATAATATTAAATATTGTATGAGAATAGTTAAGCTATTATTATTTTAATAATTACACTACAGTATAAATTAATTCATAATTTTATTTACAATAAAATTTAATTTAAAAATCTCAGGCTATTATGCAAATATTACTATTTAACTTATTTTACATTTTAATGAATAAATAATCAATATGAGTTACTAATCGTTTTTACAAATAAAATGTCAATGTTCATTAATTCCTTAAACTAAATTTTATATTAACATAATAAATTTGACGAATTTATAATTAATTATGTACATAGGTACTATGTTATCTCAAAAAGAAAATTCGTATTCGTAGAAGATAATGAATTGTGGTTTTTATCGTTGAAATCCCATATAGTTTTTTCTGATTCCAGCAGTTCTAAAAACTTTATTGTATTTTCATTATTCCACTCGAAAGGCATTTTGGTAGATCGTACTTATTTAATAACAAGACGGCACGCACGTCCGTTCATCCAGGCGCTTGGCGCGAAGTGAGCGATGGAGCTGAATGTGAACACTCACTGCCGCTCGCGCTGCCAGTCCTTTGACTTCCGCGCGAAAAACCGACATTTGAGCGATCGTCGGGCAGTGGCAGCGGCAGCGGCAGTGTCAGCGCGAGTAGCCTGTTCTGCCTGCACTGCCCTGCTCACTTCCCTGCCCAACAGGGCTGAATGTAAATGGGGCAATAGACGTGCATGTAGCCGAGTGGAGGAGCGTTTGCGTATGTAAATTAGCTTGTGTAGTTGTATTAACTGTTTGTCTTGCCACACGCGTGCCAATAAAGAAAGTTTTTTGGTAAATTTAATAACATTTTTTCAGGTAAAGCTTATGCGATGATGTGGTTGAAGACAATTATTTCACATTTTTCGCGTAAATATCTAGTTACTGGGGATCACAAAAAAACTTTATTTAAGTGCGATGCGCTGCTTAAACCTCATTCGGGTCATTTCATCGCTATTAAGAAAAGAAATAAACCTGGAATTTGAAAACAGTAATCTAGTTATAAGTTATACGTTAGTTAAAATACAATAAATTTCGGTGTGCAAATGCTATTTTGTTTAATTATATTATGCTAGTTACATTTAAAAGATTGTTTAAAAAAACGTAATCCAGATACGACTAGTACTTGAGATATGGCTGCAAAAATCATGAGTTTAACACTTATAATAAGTTTGCAATATCTATATTTAACCCTCTGATCATTATCTCAATTTTTGGACTTTGGACCCCAGAACAGTTATTGAAAAGTCAGCTATTTATGTAAACAATAAACATCTAGTGAAGATTGGTGGTATTAGAATTCTTAAAGCAGTCCCATTTGTATATTATGTTATATTTTAAGCTCTAAACTAACAAATAATATCATATTTGAAACAAAATTTTCGATTAAAACCACCTCTACAAATGTTTTGCCAACGTTGGCCAATACATAAGCAATACACGCGCAAACATTTGTGAAACATAACATAGATACATAGTATAGATACAGGAGTAGATGTGTATTCTAATAATTTTTTATAATTTGTTACCAAAACTCTCATTACCTGTATTCACAAATGAATAAATTTGAATTTGAAACAAAACTTTAAATAATGGTAGTTGCTACTTTTGTCTCCGTTTGTGTAATTCCATTAGATACTTAGCTTTTTTATTTAAGCTCTCCTAGCAATCCGTTGAGGAGTGCAGTTCCTGTTTCTGTTACTAATTGTACTTGTATTATAAATATTGTGAAGATAAATATAAGGATGTGGAATTTAGTAATATTATTATAAATATTGTAAAGATAAATATAAGGATGTGGAATTTAGTAATATTTTAATTTCTGACTTCCAGCTTTAGACACCTTTGCCAGCCGCGAATATTACATACATGTGAAAAACAAAAGGCGTACTTGCAGTTTATGACGTTTTGTGCACAACACATAAAAACACTTTTTAGGGTGACAAACGAGCACACAGCCCACCTGATGGTAAGTGGTTGCTGTGGCCTATAGACACCTACATGTTTCGTCGATTACGAATCAAAATGCAGATGCGTTGTCACCCGTGAGTACTAAGATAGAATGCCTCGTTTCCAGTGAGAAGGGTCTCCGGTTCTCTATACTCACCATACGAAATAGACCAGGTAAACGTGCCACCTGTACGAGGGAAAATAGAATTAAGAAAACTGTTATTGCAAACACGGAACGTATATCCAAATATCGCAAACGGAATGCTATATCTCGTTCCCAAAAATCATCATCGTCTCGTCATGATATATTATCTCAGATGAGAAATTACATGCGTTCTCAAATATCACGGGAGTCGCAAAGTGATAAGGTCCGTCGATTCAATCGAAACCGACTGGCTAATGAGACTCCAGAACAGTGTGAGCACCGACTCGATGTTATTAATGATCGAATAGGAATCGAACTTCCCCATCAGCGTATTCAAAGACTGACTGCAATGAAACAGCGTAATTATGCATCATTGCGAGTTGAAAATGAGGAGCACAGATGTAATCGCTTGGAGAACATGCGTGAGACACGACATAGACATCTATTTATTGGGGAGGATATAATTATTAATATATATATATATATATATATATATATATATATATATATATATATATATATATAATAGATAAATTATACATACAAAAGAATGCAATGGGAAACCTTATTGCTGACAGCAGTTTCCTCCAAACAACCAGTGAATAGACAGGATTGCACGAAGACGACAGAGGTAAGGTAAATTGGTGTGATAGAAAATAAAACCGGCCAAGAGCGTGTCGGGCCACGCTCAGTGTAGGGTTCCGTAGTTTCCCGTCCGTCACAATAAGTGTTCCCACTTATGAGTTTGTACAAAAACTGTTGTTTCCATCCAAGTTCAAAATTATTTTCCAAGAAATTCCTTATAAAGTTCTACTTTTACAGATTTTTTTCATATTTTCTAAACTTATGGTTCAAAAGTTAGAGGGGGGAGGACACATTGTTTTTTAATTTTGGAGCGATTATTTCCGAAATTATTGACATTATCAAAAAATTATTTTAGTAAACCCCTATTCATTTTTAAATACCTTTCCAACAATATATCACACGTTAGGGTTGAAATTAAAAAAAAAATCACTTCCCACTTTACATATAGGGGGCTACCCTATTAAAACATTTTTTTTCCCAATTTTTATTTTACCACTTTGTCGGCGTGATTGATATACATATTGGTACCAAATTTCAGCTTTCTAGTGCTAATGGTCACAGAGATTAAGCGAGGATGGACAGACGGACAGACAGACATGGCGAAACTATAAGGGTTCCTAGTTGATTAGGGAACCCGAAAAAGGTAAAAAAAGAAATCATCATTACAGCCCCTCACAAGTCTACTGCTAAATATGGCCTCCCCTAAGGTATGTTACAAAGCAGGGTCCTGAGTCGCCTGCATGCATCGACTTCCTGCATGTCTTCTCAGGTCGTTTAGTAGGGGGTCGCCTTACACTTCGCCTACCAGTACGAGGCTGCCACTCGAGAACCTTTCTTCCCCATAAGTTGTCGGTTCTTAGCTAGCTATATAGCCGGCCCATTGCCACTTCAGCTTACTAATCCGTTGGGCTATAACCCATATGGGTCACTCTGGTTGTACTGCAAATAACCTATTTCTAAGTTTATCACGCAGAGAAACTACGAGCATAGCTCGCTGAGTGACCTTGAGCTTCCTCATATGGAAAAAAACATAACATATCTTGAGCTCCGATCTCTCTTCATTAGAGGAGGCTTAGGCAATTGTCCACCAGGCTAACCAAGTGTGTGTTGGTACACTTAACAAATATACCTGCTACCGAAGCAGAAACCGAGACCGATAGCTTAACTTGCCCTCTGAAGTACAGCGTAACTTTTCCTGCTATCAGACTGCAAGTTTTAACCAGACTGGGATCAACATCACAAAGTGAAAAATTGAACGAAGGGTCGAACCCAGTACCACCGGGTTGAGAGTTAGGCACTTTAGCTTTTGTACCACGCAAGCGTTAGGCGCACATATGTAAATAATTTAAGTAACGGTCTAAACATACCCATTGTGCCGGACGGGTGAAACTCTCCGGAGTAAATGTTGTCGAAGATACTTCGCGAGTCGCTCACGTCCTACACCTATAGGTTCCGGTGGGTACTTTCACTGCCGTCTTTGTGGGTGCCGCTGAGATATTGTGGACTGAGGTTCAAATCAAAATACACGATTAATAAATACAAATAGCAAGGTAGTGGCCAGCGGTTCGACTGATTGATTAGCCGCGAAATTTTATAACTATTGACCACGGTTGTTGAACTACGATTGTTCACTATTGGTCACTGTATATTTCAAAAGATTTCTTTAAATTGTACGGTAGTATCAAATATCTATTGGTAGTAGCTGGTTTTCTAACACTACTGACTAGCAGCTATTATCAACTAAACTAGCTGATTTTATCACTTGTGTAACTGCGGATATCAGTTACCACTTTCACTATATGTAACTGTGAATATCAGTTACGACCTTTTTCGGCTAGCTAACACTCACTATATGTAACTGCGAATATCAGTTACGACCTTTTTCAGCTAGCTAACACTCACTATATGTAACTGCGAATATCAGTTACGACCTTTTTCGGCTAGCTAACACTTTCACTATATGTAACTGTGAATATCAGTTACGACCTTTTTCGACTAGCTAACACTTTCACTATATGTAACTGCGAATGTCAGTTACGACCTTTTTCGGCTAGCTAACACTTTCACTATATGTAGCTGCGAATATCAGTTACGACCTTTTTCGGCTAGCTAACACTTTCACTATTCACTATATACTGCTACTAGTCACTTCAGCTACTACCGGATACCACTGCTTGTCACTGGTAGTTCTTCACACTACTACTGGTACTGGGTCCCGAGCCCCTAAGGTAGACTTTGGCTATACTTGACAGTGAGCCGCTTGCCATTTTCCGTTTTGCTTCTTTATTGCATAAACTTTTCACTATGCAAATGGCATAAATTACAATATTTTTTATACAAAACTAATTGCTACACTAACATGCTATATATCATTAAATCGGTAGTCTGGTACTTTATTAGTATATCATAAAGGTTACTCAAAACACTAACATTGTAAAAAAGTAATTAAACGAAATGTCCCAAATTTTCATAATATTTGGGTACATTAATTCTTTGATTTTTCTATAACTACGAAATGCGTTTAATTATACAAAATATTCCTACACTTCCTTGATCTATAAGCCATAAGCTAATTAAATGTCATATTTACAACTCTTTTAGAACATAAAATTATTTTCATTACTTTTAGTATGAACTATTACGCAGTTAATTAATAAACTTCTAGAGAGTTCTACGACAAGACGCGCTGCGATTGGTCGATTTTTCTTAATATAATAAAAGTTGTTTATATCACTTGTTATCAAAACGACATTCTATACAAATATACTAAGAGTTATAAATATGCTACACAACTATACTTTAATACACGTTTTCACCCAGTTTTGTCGGTAATTTCACTATTAATACAAAAAACAATATTGTTTATCACTTTGTTTCTTAGCGTTGTTAGGCCGTCGCGAACATCTCACCCGCCGTGCAGCGTCGCGACGATTTTTTCACAGCGGCGCTGCATCCATTTCGGTGTGCGACGTTGCTTCTACTTCGGCAGCGGCACGAGTTTCCTGGTTGGCCTCTTGATTAGGCCGTTTGCTGTGCGTACTTCCACTGTGCGGATCTGTCCGTCCACACCGGGGTAGACAGCTTCAACCCTCCCTCGTGGCCAGGTGTTACGAGGTAACTGGCCGTCAGCTATGAGGACTGGATCGCCCACCAGGAGATTAGGACCTCGCCCATGGGCCTCCCGCCGGTTTTGAAGTTCCGGTAGATACTCTCGGACCCAACGCTGCCAGAACATGTCAGCGAGTATCTGGGAGCGTCGCCAGTGTCTTTTGCTATTCATATCCTTTTTCTTCCAGAGAAGCGCTG